GCTACATAGTGAGACCTTGTCCTAAAAACAAACAAACAAATGAAAATATCAAAGTACCTGTGGCTATGGTTTCCACAGCAACCAAGATCCTATCTGTTCTGCCCTTGAATCAAGGATACTCCAGAATTTTTCTTGACACCTATAGGTGTTATGCAGTATCATTTGCTGTATATAAACATCTAACACAGAATAAGATCATATTAATTTAAACATTTAAAATATAGGTCTTCTAGCTCCTTGGTGGATAGCGGTGAACTGAAGTCTGACACACTCCTGCAGACCTGAGCAGAAGGCAGCCTGGTTTTCTGTCCTGGGGTTGAGGTGTAGGAGAAGCCGGGTCCGGATCTGTGGTCCCCACATTTTCAGGACAAAGGCTGAGTTTCTGGTTAAGAAGATGGGAGCCATGCTAGAAAGCAAGCTAATCCTGTCTGACACGGCCACGGGAGGGTGTGAACAAGCGTAGGGTGTGAACAAACCCGGGCGGAGAGAAGCTGAGCTCTCCATCCCTGGGCCTGTAGGGGTAAGAAAGCTAAGGAGGGAGGGCCCCCTTCACATCAGGGAGTTGGGGCTGAATCGCCAGCGAAGCCATAGGGAATGGGGGCTCAGAAGAATCCATAGATGAACCCCAGTTGGGGACAGAGATCTGCTGCTTTCTTCTTCTGTTTTGAGATAATGTCTCTCTATGAATCCAGGCTGGGAACCGGGCAGTGGTGGCACACGCCTTTAATCCCAGCACTTGGGAGGCAGAGGCAAGCTGATCTCTGTGTCTTCAAGGCCAGCCTGGACTACAAGAGCTGGTTCCAGGACAGGCTCCAAATCTACAGAGAAACCCAGTCTTGAAAAACAAACAAAAAGAAAAAGAAAGGAAGGAAGGAAGGAAGGAAGGAAGGAAGGAAGGAAGGAAGGAAGGAAGGAAGGGAGAAAGAAAGAGAGAAAGAAAGAGAGAGAGAAAGAGAGAGAGAGAGAGAGAGAGAGAGAGAGAGAGAGAGAGAGAGAGAAAGAAAGAAAGAAAGAAAGAAAGAAAGAAAGAAAGAAAGAAAGAAAAAGAAAAACCGTCTTTCCATTCCCTGGATCCACTAAAATGTTGCCCATAGAACTCTACTTGTCTGAGAAGCCTGACCAAGTGCTTGGCTCAGCTCTGCCCTGTCACACTGTTGGCCATTTTGATATTGGGGGAAATGAGGGATTTCTCTCTAACTCCTGTCTAGCAAGGTCAACCTCATCCCCAACTATTACTTAGAAATTGCGACAGAAAGTGAATTCAACTCTTTTATCTCCTTTGTGCAGAGTAAGAAGCCAGGCTTTACGTCATGCTCTCCAAAGAGAAGCACAAACTCCAGCCTAGGGCCAGCTCCAGATGTCAAGCCAAACTGGCCTAGGACTAAATACCCTGCCACAAGGAAAGACCGCACCTCCACGGCGGTGTACCCATCTTTGCACATATACACATACCCTTAGGTGTGTGTTTCTGCTGTGACATGCAGGTGCTTCCACCAAAGATTTTGGGTAGTTTTATTGGTTTTTGTTTTGTTTTCTATGCAGTGTTGGGAACTAAACCTAGGGCACTGAGCATATGAGGCAAGGCCTTTACCATTGAACTGTGTCTCCAGCTCCCTTGAAAATGTTGTGGGTTATACACAGTTAAAAGAGGAAATCTGTGAAGGAAGTGGAAACTATTTGTGGTGTGCTGTGCTGTGTGTTCACGCTGACCTGCACTCTGCACTTCCACTGTGCACCTCATAAATTCAGTGCTTTTATCCTACGGTGAAATTGTAATTTGATGTATAGAATAGCCTTTATTGTAAGTTGAAGCAGATACTCACGAAAAGACAGCACATATTCCACCAATAGATGTTCCCTCTAAAGTTAACGTAAGAGATCAAACTATTTTAAATGTGTTTAGGGAACGTGCCATATGAAAAAGTCTGTGTCAAAATTTCCAAAAGGTTAAATGACCAGTCAGACTATGGTATATCAGGTTTTCTCAAAGTGAGGTATTTCTATCTAGAAAAAACAATTACATGTATTACTTATAATTTAATGTTGCATATATTATGTTCAACGAGGTTGTGTAAATTTTTAGCTCAACCATTAAAATTTTTTCTCCCTGGTTATTTGTTCCTTGATTGTTTTACCACATAATCTTATGTGAACAGATTTATACATCATCCTTTTACTTTCCATGATTCCTCATGAGCACCAATCACAGTCTTCCAGCTACATGTCATGTCACAGTTCAGAGACACATTAAAGAAGAGTCACTCAAAAAGCCGAGCGGTATGCCGGGCGGTGGTGGCGCACGCCTTTAATCCCAGCACTTGGGAGGCAGAGGCAGGCGGATCTCTGTGAGTTCGAGACCAGCCTGGTCTACAGAGCTAGTGCCAGGACAGGCTCCAAAGCCACAGAGAAACCCTGTCTCGAAAAACAAAAAAAAAAAAAAAAAGAGTTTCCTAGCATATTTTTCATTTGTATATGTATGTGTGGATACATGTTTGTGTTTGTGTTATGTCTTCATATGTGTGTGCATATTTCATTTATGCATGTACATGTTCATGCATTGTTCACATGTTCATACATGCTCACGAGTGTATGCATGCTTATGTATATACGTGTTCATGTATGTGTGTATATGGAGGCTCTAACTCCAGTCCTTCTTAAACAATCTTCCTTTTGAGGCTGTTTGGCCAGCAGGAGTACTATTACCATCTGGTGGCAGTATACCCTTTTCTGTTTTGGTTTGGTTTGTTTATTTTTCTTTATTTAGTGTGCACGCACAGCACACATATGGAAGTCAGAGGACAACGTGTAAGAGTCGGTCTTCTCCTTCCACCACGTGGGTCCTAGAAATCAAACTCAGGTTGTCAGGCTTGGCAATTGGTGCCATTAAACCACTGGTGAGCCATCTTCCCAGCCCCCGTTTCTGGTCCTGGAAAGGGGTGATGCGATCGCAGATGGCTCCTCTGTCATCATTGCCAATGTTTCTGAGACAGAATCCCATGGAGCTCAGGCTGAATTCAAACCTACTATGTAGCTGAGGGTGACCTTTGACTCCTGATCCTCCTTCCTCCGCCTCCCAGGTATTGGGATGACAAGCATGGCCCACTCTCACTGGCCTGCCCACAGCTCTTGAAAATGCTCTAACAAACGCAGGCATGTAGCATTGCTCAGGTTTGTACTGGACAGTAACTCTGTTGGGGGGACAGAAACTCTAGAGATACAGAAACTGAGAACAAAAATTCCAGGTGAGTTTTCTCTCCACTGGGCATTTGTCCTAACTTGCTTTCTCTTACCATGATAAGTGCCCTGCCCAGAAGCAACTTGGAGAGGAAAGGGTTTGTCTGATTTATGAGTCTCAGTCGCAGTCCACCACGGGGGAATCAAGCAGGGGAGGAAGAGAAACCCGGACACATGGACAAAACAGATGCAGTGAGGAATATGCTGCCACTGCCTTGTTCTCTGGGGCTCGCTCAGTTTGTTTTACATGATTCCAGGCAACAGGCAGTGGGCTGGGGCCTTCCACATCAATCATTCATCAAGAAAATCCCCACAGACTTGCCAGTCGACCAGTCCTTTGGAGGCATTTTCTCGGTTGCAGTTCCAGCTTCTCATAGATGACTCTGACTTGTGTCATGTTAACAAAAACCACCATACAGCATTGAAAGCAGCGTAGTTTGAGCTGAGCATTGCATGCCTGTAGTCCCAGTACTCTAGAAGCTGCAGCAGGAGGGTCACAAATTCAAGGTCAGTCTGGACGACACTTCAAAATTATTCTGGGAGTGTGTGCAAGGATTTTGGAGCTCTACCAGCTACCTAACAACTCAGAGCCTTTTATGACCACTGGGTGCAGCTGTGGTGCCACAAACCCCTCAAGGCCGTGCGAGGCCACTCGCTGACGCTGGGAGTCCAGAGGTGGAGTCTTTGGTGGATAAAGGAAATCCTTCGCAGGACGTGGGTGTTGTGGGTGTAAGGCAGGGTCTTCTGCAGTTTGCGCAGGCCTTAGATTACTTTGTGGTGAGAATAACCTTGAACTTTAGTCCTCTGGCCTCCACCTTGGGAGTTCTGAGATTACAGACTTGAACCACCATGCCTAGCAGAAAATGCATTCCTCATGATCAGGGAGTCTACACGGTATCAGGGTAAAGCAACCGCATGTAATGAGGAGCTCCTTGCTGGGGCAAGGAGTCCCAAAGCAATAGAAACCTTAACATCATGGCACAGAACAGGGGTGCCAGGGAGATCTTGATCTTCTTACAAAGCCACGAATCTACCTTCCCTCCTGACCCAACCATCTGCCAAAGTCACACCCCAAAATACCACCAGCATTGCCACACTGGAGTCAACCTTCCAACACATGAGACATAGTGAGAAAATGCCACACAAAATGCTCTTCTCTGTAGAAATTGAAATACTAACTTCAGGCTTCCCAAGCTGTTCTCACACTAATTCTGACTCCATTATCTAGAAGAGCAGAGTTGTTTCCAGGTCATAGACTTGGCGCCTTCTTCCCCAGATGCCTTTCAAGCTAAGTCTACTGTCTTTTGAAGTATGACGGCAGCTGAGTGTGGTGCTGAGGAGCTGGTGGAGGCAGGAGGATCAAGACCTGAAGGCCAGCCTCAGCCACACAGTGAGTTCAAGTCTTCCTAGGCTGCATGAGATATAATTTTTAAAAAAATTAATTTAGCCAGGTGATGGTGGTTCACTTTTAATCACAGCACTCGGGAGGCAGAGGCAGGTAGATGTCCAAGTTTGAGGCCAGCCTGGTCTACAGAGTGAGTTCCAGGACAGCCAGGACTACACTGAAAAACCCTGTCTCGGAAAACAAACAAACAAACAACTAACTTTAAAAGAGTATGTGCTCATTTTAATTGTACGAAATTTGACCAGCAGCATTCCTCTCCATTTCTTAGTAGAGTATTCCCCAGAGACAAAAACTTCTCTGTTAATGCTTGCCATGACCCAACATCCAGCCCGAACACGCTGTTACAGGCATGGAATACTGGAGTAGGAGATGGACCTAAGAGAACCATGAACTAGGGGCCAACCTGAGCTACAAACAGAGNACAGCCCGAACACGCTGTTACAGGCATGGAATACTGGAGTAGGAGATGGACCTAAGAGAACCATGAACTAGGGGCCAACCTGAGCTACAAACAGAGCTCCAGGCCAGCCTTGGCTACATAGCAAGACCTTGTCAGAAAGAGGCAGGGGTGTGGTTGTCAGTGTTAGTGAATGTAGAAGATCACCTAAGAGCTCAGGGAACGTGCTCAGAGAGGGCTCAGTTGTTAGGGTCTGAAGATGGTCACCAGATAACAGGTTTACAAACCCCACACCTATGCGTACGGGTGCTCACAGCAGCCCAGAGATGCTGGCGGAACTGAACGTGAGGGCTTTTAACAGCTAACTCATCTCTCCAGCTCCTCCAAACCAATTTTTATGATGAAAATTATGTGTCAAATTACCTTCAGGCTATGTGTATAAAGCATATATGGGACAATGAACTGCCCATTCAGACTTGAGTTCCCAAGGCATTTCATTACATGTGGGCAAAAATTTTAAGATCTTAAAATAGAAAATACTTCTGGTCCGGAGCACTTCAGGATGTTGACCTTGCGACACTCCCTGAAAATTCCAGTTCCCCTTGGACACGGTGTCTCAGTGTTCTTGGCTGTGAAGAGTCTGTGCACCATGAGCATGGCTGCTCTTATAGAGGAAAACAATTCACTGAGGTTGGCTTACAGTTCAGAGGTTTAGTCCTTTGTCGTTATTCAGGAAGAATCGTGGCACACAGGCAGGCCTGAGAGTTCTGGATCTGGATCTGCAAGCAAAGAGCAAAAGCCTCTGGGCCTGACTTGGGTTTCTGAAACCCCAAAGCCTACCCCTAAGTGACACATTTCCTCCAACAAAGCCACACCTACTCCAACAAGGCCACACCTTGTTGGTTATTTTGGACCTTCACTTGCTGAGTTTTTGTTCTGTTCATGCTTCTCCATCGCTCTCTGCCTATTCTTTTCTATAATTCTGAACTTTGTGCATCTTTGCTTCTGCTAAAAACGATGCTTGCATATGAGCCTGTAATATTTTTATTGTTTTTATTGAGCTATACATTTTTCTTTTTTAAGATTTATTTATTTTATGTGAATGAGTGTTTGCTTACATGTATGTATATGCATAAATGCAGTGCCTGGGTCATCCAGAAGAGGGTGTCAGATCCCTGAAACTTACTATATAGGCCTATCTGGCCTGGAACTCAGCGCTTAGACCAGGCTGGCCTTGAACTCACAGAGACCACCAGCCTTTGCCTCTCAAGGGATTAAAGCTGTGTATCACCGTGACCAGCATTTGCCTGGTCTTTTGAGGCAGGTTTTCTCCTTAAATGTGGGGCTCACATTTTCTCTGTTAGACTGGAAGCCAAGCCACCAAGCCCCATCATGAGCAGCCCACCCTGCTCAGGTCTGGAATTATGGTGTGTAGAGTATGCCTGGTTATTGTGGGTCCTGGGATCTCATTTCTGGTCCTTATGATTTCAAAGCAAGCACTTAACAGCTAAGCCATCTCTCTGGATTATTCTTGAACTTCTGACCCTCCTGCCTCCTCTACTGGGATAATGTCAGGGACTTAACCTAGGCCTCATGCGTGCTAAGCAAAGGACAGCTACTCAACTCTTTTAGTTACTGTTCTATTACTATGAGACGACACCACAATCAAGGCAGCTTATAAAAGAAAGAATTTAATTGGGAGCTGGCTTCCAGTCTCAGATGATTATTCTATGACTATCATGTCGGAAGCATGGCAGCAGGCAGGACACTGGAGCAGTAGCTGGGAGCTTTCATCTCATCCACAGCACTGGGCAGAAAGAGACTGAGACTGGACCTGGTTGTAAAGTTTTGAAACCTCCAAGTCCACCCCTAGTGACACATCTCCTCCAACAAAACCACACCTCCTAAGCTTTTTTAAACAGTCTCCCAACTAGGAACCAAATATTCAGATATATGAGCCTATGGAGTCCATTTCATTCAAACCGGCACATCAACTAAAGTATATCTCCAGCCCCCTTTTGTTTTGTTTTAGGTTTTTTTTTTTTGATACAGTCTCATGTAGCCTAGGCTGGCC